AAAGAAAGAAAATAAAAAATACAGATGTAAAAATCAGCATCACATCTTCCAGCATATAACAAGGATGTAGCTTTTTGTCCAGAGCCAATAGACAAAGGTAGCATTTCACACAGCAACAGTTGTCAAGTTTAGGCCGCCAGATTTCTGCGTGGAACTCAACAGCACGTCAAGTCTTGGCACTGTGTATTTTCCCTAATGTGTTTAGTTATAGGAGCATATGTATATGGCTGAGGGTAGGAGACACAATGATTTCCTCTGTTTTCTTTTGAAAATTACAAAAATCAGGAGTAGGGTGCTTCGCAGGGTACCACTTTTCAGTGCTGCTCCTTCCTGGGGCATTTATTTTGCCAACATCCTCCTCTCTCCAACCCCAGACACTTCAGATGGTCTGTGGCGTCTTTCACCCAGCTACAGTAATCCACAAAAGGAAAAAAGAAGTTGTGGATCGCTTCCTTGTATAGCGATAGAGTGTCTGTTCCTTTCGGCCTGGGAGCAGCAAGGAGTCAGGGCCCAGGGGAGAGGATAGCTTGGTTCCTAACGCTCGAGTCTTGGCCAACTCCCCTAGACCACTAGTTGCACCGCAGTTAGTTCCATTACGTAGAAATAAATTGTAAACTTGTTGACATTTTTGTCCTCTTTACAATTCATTGTTTAGTTTTCCATAGCAGAGAATTCTGATGCAATTATCATTGAGCTTTCTGACAAAGGGAAGTAGCTGAGGAATTTTGATGAGTTACCCACTTCATTAATCAGAACAAGCATCGCTAGTGACAGGGTTAAAATTACAATGAAGATTAGATAGCAAATTGCTGTTCCACCCAATGTCAATCACTCCCAGTGACAGTGGTGTGATTACACTTCAGGGAAGAGCCTTCTTGCCAACACAAGGAGGGCAACTTGAGTGCAGGTAATAAATTTGGCAGGGCGAACTATCATTTCTTCTCTTGAGCAGAATCCTTAATGACTAAATGATGTCTTATAGCAGACTTTGAGAGGAGAAAAGCATTTCACTTAAAAAGTTTCTAAATTTCATTTTGTATTTTATTTTTGAAATTATTATAGATATGTACTTGGGAACAGTCTTTCCCACAGTGATTTCCAGTATTTTATTGACCTGTATGAAGCCTTATTTATCACCACAACTATGTAAAGAGATGTGGAAGTTAGTAAAAGAATGCATTACTATGCAGGGGTAGGCAAAAGTAGTTTTAAAGTTGTGAGTATGTGAAACATGGAGTTTATTCTTGCATTATTATTTATACGTTAATTGTTATATTACTTATTATTATTATTAACCTGCTTTTGCCCATCCCTGTATTTGAAAATCTATCAGAAATAAAAACATGGTGCAGAGAGAACTGAAGCTAGTAAGAATGGAGAGAGGTCAGACTGGTTGTCCAGCTAGTTAAAACATTAAGTTCTGTCTTCAACAAAGTATATATCTCTTCCAACCCAATTGTGGTTTTAAATACTAGTTCTGTTTCAAAGAGCTAAGAGAGAAAGCACTATTATAGTTCTGGAGTGTAGAACCAAAGAGGAGAAACTGACCTGGGAGAGCAGGAACTTATAATAGAAAGGATGTAGGTCATGACTATGGACGCGTGCCACTTCTCGTCCCTTCTGAATCAGAGTGCTTGCATCTCCCAGAGGAGACAGAGAGTATTTTCCTTTCCCAAATGTTTTCCTTTAAGCAATTTGTGGGCTCCTGTTTGCCTGAATAATGTTTGCTGTGAGTCAAGAATAACCAATTAGCTATTCTTCATTCATACTTTTATTTTTTTATTAAAATTTTAATGGGATTCCATTTTTTAGTAGGCAGGATAAAAACTAATAGCAAGCTGCCCGGCTGGTGTTGCTCAATGGTTGAGCATCCTATGAACCAGGAAGTCACAGTTCGATTCCCAATCCGGGCACATGCCCGGGTTGTGGGCTCAATCCCCAGTAGGGGGCGTGCAGCCAGTCAACAATTCTCTCTCCTTGATGTTTCTATCTCTCTCTCCCTCTCCCTTCCTCTCTGAAATCAATAAAAAAACAATAGCAACCTGATGTTAAGAAAGCTGCCATTTGACACAGCATGGATGGGTCTTGAGAATATCAGGCAAAGTGAAATAAGTTAGACAGAAAAAGTTAGGAACCATATGATTTCACTCATATGTGGGATATAAAACTAAAAGCAACAAATAAACAAACAAGATAATCAAACAAAAACTCATAGACGCAGATAACAGTATGGTGATTACCAGAGGAAAAGTACATGGGTAGGGGGTAGTAAAGAATAAAGGGGATCAAATATATGGTTATTTGACTTTGGTTGGTAGGCACCCAGTGCAATATACAGATGTTGTATCATTGAATTGTACACTTGAAACCTATATAATCTTACTAACCAATGTTACTCAATAAGAAAGGGAGGGGCAACATTAACCCTCGGGACAAAAAGGAAGTCTGTCACTTTCCTGCTATTAACTTCTGTGTAGTGAAACGGAATTTTAGACCTTTAAAACTGATCATTTTGCTATCTAAATCTACACTTAAGTATTTTAAAAGAAATAGATTGACTGTAGAATTCATTCTTTTAAATTCAGATATGTTCTAGCCCTAACCGGTTTAGCTCAGTGGATAGAGCGCTGGCCCGCAGACTCAAGGGTCCCGGGTTGGTTCTGGTCAAGGGCATGTACCTTGGTTGTGGGCACATACCCAGTGGGGAGTGTGCAGGAGGAGCTGATCAATGTTTCTAACTCTCTGTCCCTCTCCCTTCCTCTCTGTAAAAAAATCAATAAAATATATATATATTTTTAAATTCAGATGTTCTAGCAGTGCTTTTCTAACCCTAGTAAGTTATATATCAAGTTCTTTCTCTTTCAGCATTAAAAAAAAAAAAAGCAAAGAACATGCCTTCCTTGTGAGGAGAGACTTTTTGTCTAAGAGAGTAAGGTCGTCAGGATGCCAGAGTGTTTCCATGTTAGCTGTAGGTGTACCACTAACTCTTTACTTTGTGAATTTAGTCATTAGCCCTTCTCTACTTGAAGTTCAGCTTGGTACGGTAAAGTATAATGATATCTGCAGTCTCCATTTTCTAATGATGGTCTACGAATTAATAAAATAGGACATGTAGGGTGCTTTGAACTTAGAGAGAAAAGGAATGTAGAAATCTAAGAAGGAAACTATTAGTAAATAGTGTTATTGTCAAAGTGGATTATGTTTGTGCTATTTCATCATTAGACATATTCTAGGAGATAAAAATCAAGTCATTCAAGAGGAATCTCTTAAATGAATCTCATAAGTAAAGGATATTTTCTTTTGACTATGGCACACAAGGGAACATTTTTTCATGATGTATTTTGTGGGATAAACAGATGTAATGCAAAAAGCATAACCCCTCCACCTGGCAGCTGTTTTTCTTCCTTGTTGTGACTTAAGGATATTCTATATTCAGCAAATCTCCCTTCTGCTGTTTCTCTCTTCTTCCACCTTCTCTCCCTCCTTCTACTGAATCTGAGATAAAGGTTCAGAAAATGTGCCCTCATTTGACATAATAGAAGGGGAACAAGGGTTTATTAAAGTTTTCCCTGGTTTCTCCTGATGGAAATAAGGATTTTGTATTTTGTCTAAATGGGAATATGACTGGTCTTCTATGTGGAAAATATTTCTGGCCAAGTGGATACTCCCTATATTATCAATCTTTTAATTTATTCTCTCTCCCTATGACACCGCAAAATCTATATCTTAAGCAACTTTGTTCAGAGTTTCCAAATTCAAACACAGTGGTGTACTTAATAAATGTTGAAATAGTGAAAGATAAGTATTTTTATAAAGAAAGAAGCAGTAAATCGGGTTGATCCTGGGAGGGCTACCAAGTTCTTGCTGCTGGACATCAGGCATCCCTCAGACCTCCCACAGAGGCACCTCCTATGAGGTTGCTTTCCATTTAGTGCTCCCCATACTTGGTAACGCTCCCAGACTTGTCATTCCCATTTATGGAGCCGGGGTCTTTCCTTCCAGAGGCTCCCAGTCTAGTGCAAACCAGTGAACAGGTGATTGTAATGCAGTGTGTTGAGTGTCTTGACTGAAGAAGGCATAGATTGCTCTGGAAGGGCACTGACATTTGGGGAGAGTGATGGGTAATAGGAGGGCTCCCTATGGGAGGTGACTCCTGAAGTATTCAGGGTTGGGAGAGGAAAGAAAGGGCGGGAGGAATTAGGATGACCATAGATAGAAAAGTGTGAAACAGTATGGTTAGTGTAAGGCCAAGAGATGAAAGTAATTTGAGTACCAGGAACATAAAGTTCGCTGTGAAAGTAGAAGATACAGACAAGGACTAGATCTCAGAGAGTTTTCTTAGACAAGGGCCATGAGCACTTCTCTAGGGCATCCTTAGGGTCAGCAGACCTTGTCTGATTATTGTCACATGCATACAGTGGGAGACTGCAGGCAGCCTGAGTGTCTCACTCTCTCTAGGCCTGCTCCACCAAGGCCCTAACATAGTTAGGGGTCACCCAGCTCAAGCTACTGTTTTTAGTTGTCTTGTTCCCAGGGACCAGAGAACCCACTCCATCCTTATGGGACCTCCCATGTTCATTCATGCAGGACATCAGCAGAATTAGTAACAGGGATAAATTAAATGGTTGGTATTGTAAATTCCAAGAGAGCCTGGCACAGGAGATCCTGTTGGAAGCAGGTCTTTCAAGCCTCTCAAACAAGCCCTTTGTCTTAGACCTTAAATGTGACTGTTACTCCAGCTCCCCATAGAACTGGTGCCTTATAAGGAGGATGAAGTTTTAGTTTAAGTCATGAGGCTGAGAGTGCCTCAGTTGCATGACTTGAATATTTCTTGTCATTATTAGCCATAAAGTAATTGTGTCTGATCTGTTCCCCTTCTATTAACACAACAGTTGCTAATTTTGTTAGAAAAAGTGTGAGGCAGAAATCTGAGGAGAGGGCTCTATTTTAGAAACACTAGTGCTGATCAGTGGTGATTTTACAAATGTTTCCAATTGTAGTGTCAAAAGCGCTATTTCTCTGCCTGGCACAAGCTGATTCTTGACCACAGGATTAAGCTGGGGAAAGCTGGGACTCTGTCTGACTGGAAGTTTCAACTGAAGGTCCTGAAGGCCTGGAGAGACTACACGAGATCTCGGAGGCTGGAGCGGGAGACCCAAGCCATGGAGCGTGAGCTCAGGGAAGAAAACAGGTACCATTGTTTACCATGAAAGCCCTTCTAGTGCATTTATCTAGGACAACCTTCCTCTTGATGAATCCAGAAATGAATTCTCAAACTCTGTTCACTGGAATCATCTCACCTGCTTATAAAATGTGCTAACAATTGTTTTCTGTTGCATCCCAAACTAGAAAAATCTAACCGAAAAGCAGAAAAATCTATAATAATAAAAGTGTAATGTGCTAATTATACCGGACAGGCAAACGACCTTCCGGACATCATTCAGGATGTCTTTCTGGACGAAGCCATGGCGGCAGGGGCCTGAGGCAGAGGCGGTTAGGGGTGATCAGGCAGGCAGGCAGGTGAGCGGTTAGGAGCCAGTGGTCCTGGATTGCGAGAGGGTGCAGGCCAGCCTGAGGGACACCCCCCATGCACAAATTTCGTGCACCAGGCCTCTGGTTACTTAATAAAAATATAATAATGTGCATGCTTTCCTTTCATAAAGGAAGCAGGTATCATGCTTTTTCCCTTGTCCTCAGATGTAGCAGCATTTCACTTGGACTGTTTTACAATTCAGAAGACAGAGTTCGGTTTATATGCCAGTAATTCACATTGGTAGAAATCACTATCTGCACATAGAATATTAATTAGGGACACAGAGAACATCCATCTGGGAGGACAGACCTGCCAAGAGTTATTCCTCCCATTCCCCCATCTTTTGTTCTTCATCTTGTGTAGAGGTTTTGACACCTTTTTATCAACTTCCTCTTATTCTTGTGAATGACAAAATTTGTCTTCAAGTAAAACTTTCTTTGCTCCATCATCTTAAATACATTCTGTTCTTTTCATTTCCAAGTTTAACTTTCCATTCTTGAACCAAAATCATATATGTAGAAGGAACAATTTGTTGCTTTGGGAGAGGGCAGTTCATGTTTTTATATTTGCTCACTTCTCTACCAACAACCCTGTTATTCATTCAGGGTGAGAAACTAAAGGGATGGTATATGAAAGCATTGGGCATTGTTATGCAGAAAGGAATGACACCCCCTGGAATTGTACAACCATGTGACAGCATTAGGCCCTGGGAAGGATCTGTAGGAGACTGATGCATGGCTCCTTGTCCTCAAAGAACTCACAATTTTGTGGGGAAAACAAGATCTAGAAACAGTAGAGCTATTGAATAGCATTATAAACTGTGTAAAGCATCCCCTCTGATAAGACCTTAGCAGAGGGAAGTGTCGCTGTAACTAAGGAGACTCTGTACTACAGAGTGCCAGGAAAGGTTTTATCAAGAAGATGGGTCATGAGCTGGGCTCTGCACAGTAAGTAGGATGCTCCTAAGTGGGAATGGGGAGACAAGGTGATGGCATGGAGTGTAGCCATTCATATTGGCTGGCGATCATCAAGCATGTGGTTGTAAAGTTTATCAACTTGCAAAAGGCCTTGAATGCCAGGACAAGGAGTTTAAATATTTTTTTTTGTAAATAGAGGCAAATTCTTGAAGGTTTTTAAGCAAGAGGGGTGCCTAGTCAATTTTACTTTCTACAGTATGCTATAGAAAATTTTCATTAAAAAAGTCAACATAGAGAACTCTTTCATAATTCATTTCTAAATTCTCAGGACCTAGTGATTGACATAAGGGATTAAGTCTAACTGAAATAGGAATAGCTGGAAATGGATTTGTTGGATAAAGAAGGGAAACTGGAGGTGTTATAAAAGGGGAGCAACATGAGTAAGGGCATAAAGGAGTAGAAATTGAGATGTTAAAGTTAAAAGTGGCTTGTGAAGTTTACATGCCAGAAGACACCTGTAGAAAAAAAATCTAAAGAACTTGAGAGTCCATTGCAATTAAACTGTTTAAATATAAAAACACTAAATGGGGATTTCATAATGTGCCAATTTTTATTCAAATCTCAGAACTTTTTGTCTCATATCTGTGAATTATTTTCAGATGTCTCTTTTTAAATGTTTGGAATGGGTACTACTTTTTTGTTTTAATTCTATATGTTACAAAGCCATTACACACCTACTCATCACACACTTGCGTAGACACACATACACAAACATTCCATTAAACACCTTCATAAAAAAAAAATGGAAGAGAGAAAATATTTAAGTTATAATAATTTTTTACTACAAAACTTTAGAGCAAAAATATCTTAGAGCAGGAAGGCACCTGAACACTTGTCTAATCCAGCCCCTCATTTTACAGATGGTAAAAGTAAAGCCCAGAGAGGGTAAATAATTCTCTCAAGGTCATAAAGTTAAGAGTAGCTTCTCCAGGACTAGATCCTGGTCTTTTTGATTCAGAGTCAGATGCTTTTTTCTATACCACACAGCTCCATGTTAAGAAGCTTACAGGTGATGCTTCCCTAAGACAACCATGTTTTTTTCAACTATACTGTAATTCACTTAAGGTGGTTGCAGATGAAAAATAAGAGAAGTAATTAACAAATGACAAGTCATGCTGAAATATGTGAGAAGAAAGGATCTATTAGACACAAACTGTACTTTGTGCTGCTTTCCTAAAAATCCCTGGCTCTGTGCATCTTGTTTTTTGTTCTAGAACTTGGTTTAGGTTATTTAGGTGGGTGATTTTGCTCAAAGAAGGTTGGGATATTAAAGGTGGAGTAAAAAACTCAAAGGTAGCTGCTGCAAGCAGAAACCAAGAAATGTCAGTGGGATTGAGGGTGTCAGGTAGTCCCCACTTTCAGCATTCTTTTGGGCAGTCATTTGTGGAGTACCTCTGTTAACATGTTATATTGCCCTTCCCTCCATGCACTCCTGGGTATCCAGAAACTGAATGGCATCTGAAGCTGATAAACCTGATATGTCTGTCAGAGGGGCAGGAGGACAGACTTGCATTGTCTGGCTCCTGTTAAGCTCTATAATAGAACTGTATTGTCTTCCACGTTTTCCCTGGGGGCTACCTGGTACATTATTGAAAACATTACCTTTTTCCATTCCTATTCCTGCTGAAGCTGCTCATCCCAAATGCAGCTGTTAGTGGCACTGCTGTTTTTATGTTCTGCATCAGATCTCGGCACACAAGCAGATCACTAGTATGTGGTTACTTATTTGTCATTTCTCATTTCCTTCTTTTTCTTTTCTTTTTTAAAATATATTTTATTGATTTTTTTTTTTTTTTTTACAGAGAGGAAGGGAGAGGGATAGAGAGTTAGAAACATCAATGAGAGAGAAACATCGATCAGCTGCCTCCTGCACACTCCCTACTGGGGATGTGCCCGCAACCAAAGTACATGCCCTTGACCGGAATCGAACCTGGGACCCTTGAGTCCACAGGCTGATGCTCCATCCACTGAGCCAAGCCAGTTAGGGCTCCTTCTTTTTCTTTATTTTGTTTATATTTTTCTCATCACCATTTATCTCCCCTATATCTTCCTCCACCTCCACCTACCTCCTGCCCACCCCCCCATGGAATCACCACACCAGTGTCTGTGTTCATGAGCTCATTCCTTTTTAAAAATTCACGACATTCTTTCAATACCTAGAAATGTCCTAAGATAGTGTTATTACCTTACATGAGAATTTGTTCTACGTAGGACAGGCAGCATAGGGCTTTTTTTTAAGGGTGACGTTACTTAGAGGAGGAATCTGAAGCTTAGAAACTTTCAGTCACTTGCCCAGTGTTCTGTTAGTGTTCTGACTTCCTGGTTCTATAATATGCACCAACCACTAAGTATCATTTGAGTTGTTGGTTCTAAGCATCATGGTTCAGATTTAAATTCCTCTTTAAGCCTTTTATATTTTATATTCTTAGGTCTTTAGAGATGGCCTTTATCTGCATGCAGTTATATAATTGTGATGCTCAGTTTATATGATCTTGCCACAAATTCCCTGATTTCATCTTGGCAGCATACTGGGATAGGATGTTTTCCATAGGGGAACTCTGTCTTGCATTCAGTGATTATCTGTAGCCTGTGTCTGAAACGATTTCTTTATTTTTCTTTTTAAATAATTTTTATTTCTTGAAGTATTACAAAGAGTATTACATATGTCTCCTTTTTCCCCCCCTTTGACATTCCCTCGGCCCCTAGCCCCTAGTGTCTTGTGTCCATTGGTTATTCTTATATGCATGCATATAAGTCCTTTGGTTGATCTCTTAACGCCCCCCCGCCCCCAACCTTCCCCAGGCTTCCCACTGTAGTTTGACAGTCTGTTCAATGCTGCTCTGCGTCTGCATCTAACCCTGTTCATCAGTCTATACTGGTCCCCATTATCTGTCCGAACCTCACCGGGGCCGTTTCATCCTCACCAGGGCCGTCTTGACCTCACTGGGGCCGTCCCGACCTCACCAGAGCTGTCCCGCCCTCACTGGGGCCATCCGTACCTCACTGGGGCCATCCGTACCTCACCGGGGCCGTCTCGACCTTACCGGTGCCGTACATCGCCAGGGTCGTTTTGGCCTCACCGGGGCTGTCCCAACCTCACCAGGGCCATTTCGGCCTAACCAGGGCCATTTCAAACTCACTGGGGCCGTCCCAACCTCGCCGGAGCCGTCTCGGCCTTACCAGGGCTGTTTCAACCTCACCGGGGCCGTCCTGACCTCACCGGGGCTGTCTCGACCTCACCAGGCCGTCTCAACCTCCCCGGGGCCATTCCAACTTCACCGGGCCTTCCCAGCCTCACCGGGCCGTCCAACCTCACCGGGGTCGTTTCAACCTCACCGGGGCTGTCCCAACCTCACTGGGGCTGTGAAACGATTTCTTTAGCTTAACATTCCTAAGTAAATCACATCTGGTTGAGCTTTTAAGTGATTTTTCACTTTCAGAAATATTTATGTTTTCTGTGTCATCTTTTTAAAAGTATAGAAATTGGCTTATCTGGAATATTGTCACTGCTGAGGTGAACTGCAAGGGCACAGGAGTAGACCCAGCCTTGTCTCTGGACCCCTGGCTTCCACATCGACCCACAAACACCAATATCTTAAATAGATCTTCACACCGCCTGCAAAACCATTATAGAGTAGGCTCTAAACCAGCCGTGGGCAAACTACGGCCCGCGGGCCGGATCCGGCTCGTTTGAAATGAATAAAACTAAAAAAAAAAAAAAAAAGACCGTACCCTTTTATGTAATGATGTTTACTTTGAATTTATATTAGTTCACACAAACACTCCATCCATGCTTTTGTTCCGGCCCTCCGGTCCAGTTTAAGAACCCATCGTGGCCCTCGAGTCAAAAAGTTTGCCCACCCCTGCTCTAAGCACTATAGTGAACATGCATTTTTGGTACCTATTTTCTTATTGTTTGAGTTTTTGTTATACTTCAAATATATTCTTCTTTTTGCCTTTTGATAGTGTCCAAATAATCTTTTCCCTGACAGTCAAAATCTCAGTTTTGTTTTGGCTTGTTTATGCTGTAAAAACATGAAATTAACACTTCAGGTAAATTTCACACTCCTCCTTTCTGAGCAAGATTGTTGTAAATCAAATTTCACATTAATCAGAGCAATGTACATTCTCCTGTGAAAATTGATGATTTTCACTTAATTATGTAAAGTTCTGTAGGGTTTTTGGAGCTTTGTTTTTCTTTGTGTGTGTTTTTTTAAATATATTTTTATTGATTTCAGAGAGAAAGGGAGAGGGAGAAAGAGATAGAAACATCAATGAGGAGAGAGAATCATGATCAGCTGCCTCCTGCACGCCCCCTACTGGGGAATGAGCCAGCAACCCCAGCATGTGCTCAGACCCGGAATTGAACCATGACCTCCTGGTTCATAGGTCGATGCTCCACCACTGTGTCTCATGGGCCAGGTTGGAGCTTTGTTCTTACCTGTGTTGCTATCTTATTTATTATTCTTGCGTCCTCTAAAATTTTTATTTCAAGGTTATTTCATCTCATATTAGATACTTTATTTCCATCAGAGTATAATAAAATATAAATACTTATTACCACCTATATTGTACTTTCATTACAAAATCTATCAATCACTAAGTATTCATTGAATAACAATTCAATTATTTAATTCATTATAAAGAGGCAATTAAATATAATAAAAAATACTCTTTGCAGAGTTGCTATTAGTATTTATCCTGCAATGCATCATTTCGATCAACTTTACTCTCATTAATTTGTTGTTTCATTCAACTCCTCTGACATAGGCTAAAGTCTGTGACTCTAAAGTAGTCTTTTTCAAACTAAGGGCTTTAACTCTTTAGTGGGTCCTGAAATCAAGCTCAAGATGAGCTATGTTTTTTTAAAGAAATAGAACATATTAGAACAGAAATATCTGAGTGCGCCTCTGATAATAGGGTAAATATTGTTTGGTGAAACTTTTGTTTCAGTTATATATAGTTTTGTTTCATACATGCACACATGCACACATAAATTTGCATATTGAATCACAGTGTAACATTTTTTTCTTACTGTAGGTGTTGGTCAAAAAGATTTCAAAGTCACTTAAGTATTTAAGAACCGTAGAAAGGTTCTCCTGACACCTTGACTTAAGAACTTTATGATTTTGTTATGACCCCAGAAAGTCTATGAGGAAGTTAAACATTATGTTTATTTAACAGAAATGGATATGCATACAGTGTTATAGAGAACTTATTTGATTCCCCTTTACAAGATAAAATCAAGTAGGTAGCTATACAATATTAGGTTTTAAACTTCGAAGCTGACCCCTGATGCGACTAAGTTCCAAGCTCTATACCTCACTTCTTCGGGGACAGTAAGCATCCACTTAGAGATGGAGCTCAGAAAACCCAGGCTTGAATTCTCAACGGCCGCTCCAAGGTGTCTCCTAATGGAGAGTCCCTTTGGGGAGGGCATGTAGCTGGTACTTCCTACCTCCACTCAGTCAGTTCCCCTAATGTTCATGACGTTTCCAGGAGCTCTTCCGTAGGAAGAGAATGAACCTGAATCCCTACTAGCCTGGGAGGGAGCTCCATGGGAGCAGTGCCTGTCTTTGCCTTTCACACGTGTCTAGTGTTTAGCAATTATCTTCACAGGGCGGTCCTTCAATCATTTAGTTAAAGGGTCTGTGAGTCCTTCTTTTCAGATAATCATTCCCTGGCCAAGTAAGTCCTCCCTTCCCAGATCTACCTTCTTAGTTTCATGTTGACACTTATAAGTCTTATACTTAATTGTTGACAGTTCACTAAAGTTTTGTTCCTTTCCCTTCCTCCCAAATTTCTGTCTTCCTTAGGTTTCCCAGATAGCTGGATATCTCCCTCATATTTTAAAAAGTACTTACTTACATACCTATTATTTTTGCTCCTTCCCCTCCAAAAGCTCTAGAAGCTATTTTATGGTAATCAAAAAATGTAATGTGTCTTTGTGACATGATAGAACAGAATAGTCACTCTTTCTTCTGAGGTAATGTCTTGAAGTGCCAATGCCTCCCATGAGCAGACCCTTTACACCAGGGAATTTTATAAACCAGTTCCTTTTAGCTGAAATGGAAGGATAAGGTGGAGCTAAGTGGAGAATTTCTGGGACTCCTCTGGACTTGTGTTTCATTTATATCACCAAGTAACAAGCTGTAAATGGCTTATCCTTTTTAATGGAAGTGCTTTGTTGCTTAGAAAACAACAACTGGCCGCTGAGTATAACAGGAAGCACGTTCTCCAGCACCACTTTACAGAATGGCAGCACTGGCATCACCGGAAGCACGTTCTCCGCCACCACTTTACAGAATGGCAGCATTGGCATCGTGCAGAGATCCTAAAGAAAGAGCTGGCTCTAACAAAGGAGGAAACAAGGAAGAAAATGGGTGAGCTGTTGAAGGCAGCATCACTAGGAAAACTCAGTGCAGCTGGGTCAGTAGGCACCAGTCTACTCAAGAAGGCAACAGCCACGGTGGAGCCGCCTACAGGAGAGGTACTTTGCTTTTCTTTTGCTTAGTCTTCCTGCTTATTAATCACTTGCATTTGATCTTTGCACTTGGGTAGCTTGGGCTATGTTAGCCATTGTCAGGTTGCCTTGCCTAGGCTATCTAAAAGATGAGCTGCTGTAATGCACAAAGGTTAACTTTCAATCAGTGTTCATTTTTTTGAACTGCATCCTCTTTTTATAATCACACTAGAGGCCCGGTGCACAAAAATTTGTGCACTGGCAGGGGGTGGTGTCCCTCAGCCCCACTTGTGCCCTCTCACAGTCTGGGACCCCTTGGGGGATAATGACCTGCTGGCTTAGGCCTGCTTCCGGGTGGCAGAGGGCAGGCCCAATTCCTAGGTGCCTGCCCTGCAGCCCCTGGTCGGGCTCAGAGCAGGGCCGATTGGGGAGTTGGGGCGCCACCCCCTGTCATGCACAGAGCAGGGTGGATCAGGAGGTTGCAATGCCACTCCCAGTCACGCTCAGGGTAGGGCCGATTCGGGGGTTGGGGCACCGCCCCCTGTCACACTCAAGTCAGGGCTGATGGGGAGGTTGTGGTGCCACCCCCTGTCACGCTCAGGGCAGGGCTGATGGGCAGGGGGTTGTGGCGCCACCCCCTGTCACACACACAGCTGGCTGATCAGGGGGTTGGGGCGCTGCCCCCTGTCTTGCACAGAGCAGGGCCGATGGTGGGGAGGGGGTTTGGGGCGCCACCTCCTGTCACTCACAGAGCAGGACCAATCGGAGGGTTGGGGCACTGCCCCCTGTCACGCACAGAGCCAGCGAATCTGCGGGTTGTGGCGCTGCCCCTGTCAGGAACAGAGCAGGGCCCATGTGGGGGGAGGGGTTGGGGCGCCACCTCCTGTCACGGACAGAGCAGGGCTGATCTGGGGGTTGCGGTGCTGCCCCCTGTCATGCTGCTTCAGGGGCCGGGAGGCCTCGTGGCTCCGCTGATTCCGGTGCTGGGAGACCTCGCGGCTCCGCTGATCCTGGTGCTGGGAGGCCTCGCGGCTCCACTGATCTCAGTGCCAGGAGGCCTCGTGGCTCTGCTGATCCTAGGGCCAGGAGGCGTCACGGCTCCACTGATCCCGGGGCGGTGAGGCCTTGCTTCTCGCGGCTTCGGGGCTGTTTGGCTTCGCTCCACCGCTTGGAGCCTGCGTATGCAAATTAACCGCCATCTTTGTTAGTGGTTAATTTGCATATTGCCCTGATTAGCCAATGGGAAGCATAGCGGAGGTACAGTTAATTACCCTTTTTGTTTTTATTAGATAGGACTAGAGGCCTGGTGCATGAAATTCCTGCACAGCAGGGAGGCGGGGGAGGAGTCCCTCAGCCCGGCCTGCACCCTCTCCAATCCCGGACCCCTAGAACATCCCTCTTGTAATCCAGGACCGCTGGCTCCTAACCGCTCACCTGCCTGCCTGCCTGATCACCCCTAACCATTCTGCCTACATGCCTGATCGCCCCTAACTGCCTTTGCCTGCCTGCCTGATAGCCCCTAACTGCCTCTGCCTGCCTGCCTGATCACCCCTAACCACTCTCCCCTGCTGGCCTGATAGCCCCTAACTGCCTCTGTCTTGGCCCCTACCACCGTGGCTTTGTCCAGAAGGACGTCCGGAAGATGTCTGGTCTATCCAGTCTAATTAGCATATTACCCTTTTATTACTATAGATTTAAACTTTGATGTAGCTCAAGCTTAGGAGGGACATAATAGAGGAAATTTAAAACAACTAAGAGAAAGACTCCTTCAGGAACAGATAATATAAAGCATTGTTTACAACTCTTGAATTCCTCTTATTTGATCATACATTTTCTTCCTAAATGAGCCTTGTGACTTATAAGAGGGGAATGTTTATGTTTTTATTTTTCTAGTGAGAAAAATCAGAGATATTAATTGTAGCAATTTGGTAGAAGAAAATGACAGATGAAAAAGAAAAATAGCCTATAATTTCATTATTTGGAGATAACCACCAGTAACATGTTGAAGTAGAGCCATCTAGTCTTTTCTCTATTCAGGTATATCCAAAGTTTGCTCTTCAGTATTTTATTTAGCTTTAAATTTTTCTTCAGTCAAATCATTGAGAACATTAATCTGCCATAATACAGAAAAAGGAAGGCCATGTGTTTTTCTTTTTAATAATAATATTTTTCTGCTTTTCTAAAAGATATCTTTTGCATTTTCATAATATAACATGAGAATTTTTTTAAGTCAGTAAGTCTTCAAAACAGTAGTTCTCAACTGAGCATATACTGTAGAATCAGACCACTAATTCAGAATCTCGGAGTGGAGCCCTTGTAGTTTTTTAAAGTTCCGCAGGTGAACCTGATGAATATTCACCCATGAAGTAAGGACTACCATTATGTGCCATCATATTGTAATGGCTGCATGATATTCTATCATGAATTTTAAGGTAGAATCTGTTTACTTCCTCCTCTATTACTGGACATTTAAGTTGTTTCCAGTTTGCCACAATTGCAAACAGAGCTTCAGTGAACATCCTTGTAGCTAAATCTTTGCACACGTCCATAATACTTTACCTTGGATAATTACCTAACAATAGAATGCACATTTTAAAGACTCTTACCAAGTTGCCCTTCCAAAAAGGTTGTACCGTAGGAAGTGCCTGTTTTCTTTTCTGAGAACATATTTTAACATATTTTTCATTTTTACCAAGTTAACAGGTAAAATATTTTCATATTATTGCTTCAACATTTGCAAGTGGGTTTTTTTTTTCTGTTGTCGTTTTCAGTCCTTTCTAAGGATATTTTTTTTCCATTGGTTTTCAGACAGAGTGGAAGGGAAGGAAAAGGGGGAGGGAAATATCCATGTGAGAGAGACCTATGGATTGGTTGCCTCCCACATGCGCCTCGACCACGGCCAGGGATCAAACCTGCAACTGAGGTACAAGGTATGTGCCCTTGACCAGGAATCGAACCCAAGACCCCCTGGTGCGTAGGCCAAAGCTCTAACCATTGAGCTCCAGCCAGGGCTGTGGATTTTTACTACTGAGGTTAAACATTTGTTACATTTCCCATTTACATATATATGTAGTAAATGAAAATATATATAGTAAGATAGATACATAGTGACTTGTCTTCATGCCCTTTTTTCTACTTGATTATTTATCTTTTTCTTATTTATAGGAGCTCTTTATATTTTTAAGACCATTGATGCTTTTATTATTATGTTTTGCAATTTTTTTTTCATTCTGTCATTTGTCTTTTTGGTTTATTTATAGTGTTTTGTGCTATACACAGTTAAATTTTTATAAAGGCAATCCTACCAGTTTTTTTCTTTCATAATTGCACTTGTATTTGAAAAGCCTTTCAAAGGAGGCGCTCTACCTGCTCACCTCCACCCCAGGCCCCTCCATCCCTCCACATAATGCTGTTAAGTACTTAACTCAGATGTGTGAAATTGAAGTGGGCACTAGAGGGTCCCCAACCTTGTTTTTTACTCTGACTCCTGCTAGTAAGTAGTTAGTTTTCATTTAAGCTTAGTCTCTCAGCAAAGGGGATCATGAGGATGCTTATTGTGCCTTATGTAACATCCTGGTCTCTTCCCCTAAGCAGTTTACCTACCTTTATGTCAGTCAAAGGATTTTGTTTCCATTGAGACCCAGGAGAGTCTTCTATCTTGGGAAATAGCTGTGTGGAACCTTTTACCTTACAGAGTTCCACTGTTACCTTTCAATGAAAAAAAGGAAGTCAGCAGAAAGTTTTTTTTTCCTGTGTAAAGCAGAAAAATTACTAAAATACTTACATAATTTAGACTCAAGTAAAAGGGTCTCCAAATATCTGAAATCAAAATCAAAATAATTTATCAATAATTTATCTGGGTTGTAAAAAAATTGAGCAAAAATTAGAGAAAATGAAGGGCTATAAGAGACTCTGTAAGTTATTAGATAAACTCTAATCTTTTCCAGAGTGTAAAGTATAACATGAACAATACTATCTAATAAAAGAGAAACATGGTAATTAGTGTACGACCGCTACCCTTCCCATTGGCTGATCAGGGCGATATGCAAATTAACTGCCAGCCAAGATGGCAGCCGGCAGCCAGGCAGCTTGAAACTAACATGAGGCTTGCTTGCTTCAGTGACGGAGGACTCCAACGTTCCCCGCCTGCTTTGCCGGCCTCTGAGCCTGCGGTTTGAAAAACACTGTAACAAATATAGAAGCTAAACAAAACCCCAGAAACCAGCTTTTAGCCTGCCGGGATCTCAGAGCTGGAGTTTTACAGTGTTTCGATTATAGAACCGAAACAAACTAGATACCTTCTTTCAGCAGCAGAAGCCTCAGAGCTGGAGCCAGAGCTAAAGCTGGCCCAGAATAAAAAAAAAAAAAAAAGGAAAAAAGGAGCGGTTGGGAGCTTCAGTCACCCCCCAGCCTGAAAACAGCCCTCAGCCCCTCACCCAGACTGGCCAGGCACCCCAGTGGGGACCCCCACCCTGAAGGGTGTGTGACCAGCTGCAAACAGCCATCATCCCCTCACCCAGGCTGGCCAGGCACCCCAGTGGTGACTCCCACCCTGAAGGGTGTGTGACCAGCTGCAAACAGCCATCATCCCCTCACCCAGGCTGGCCAGGCACCCCAGTGGGGACCCCCACCCTGATCCAGGACACCCTTCAGGGCAAACCAGCCAGCCCCACCAATGCACCAGGCCTCTATCGTATATAGTAAAAGAGTAATATGCCTCCCGGCACCGGGATCAGTGTGACAGGGGGCAGCGCCCAAACCCCCTGATCGCCCTGCGACTCTGTGTGTGACAGGGGGCAGGCCCACAACCTCCCTATCTGCCCTGCTCTGTTCGTGACAGGGGAAGGCGCCCCAACCCCCTGATCAGCCCTGCTCTGTGCCTGATAGGGGGGAGCTCCCCAACCCCCTGATCACCCTGCGGCTCTGTGTGTGATGGGGTAGAGCCATAACCTCCCCATCGGCCCTGCCCTGAGTGTGAGAGTGGCAGCACCCCAACCAACTGATCGGCCCTGCTCTGTGGGTGATAG